ACAGCCCCAGCAGCAGGAAGGGCTTGTGCTGGAAACTGAGGGACTTGTGCAGACTGCCCTGGAGCTTGCTAGTGAACAGGCCCAGGAGGAATCGTGTGCCCCATGAGTTGCCACATAAGTGACAGTGGGGGAAGCCTCCCCAGCAAAGGCACCACCTTCCCCTGCCGGCCAACCTGCTCGGCCTCTTGCAGCTGGATCTCCAGGGTCCTCTGCATCTCCTCGTGCTGCAGCCTGCGCCGCTGCTCCTCTTCCTGCAGCAGCAGCTCCGCTTGCCGCTGCGCCTCCTTCAGCAGCTCCAGCTCCTGCAGCTTCCTCTCCTTCTCCTCCTGCAGCTGCTTGAGGCGCTGCATCTCCTCCTCCTTGGCGGCCTTCCGCTTCTCCCGTTGTTCCCGCTGCTCCCGACGCTTCTGCTTCAGGTCCTTGTGCAGGGACTTCTTACCCTCGGCTTGTAGCCGGATCGCCGTCTGGATGGCTGCAAGGCAAGGAGGCAAGCTCGCCATGGATCCAGGGACTGCACTGTCCTAGCAGCCACTGGCCAGAGCATGGCCCAGGCAAATGAGATTGGAGGCCTGGGGGACAGGACTTCCAGTGCTGTGCCCTGCCGTTGGACACCACTCGATGCACTTGCATGTAAAATGCAGTCAGTGGTTATCTGTCCATACCACTGACTCAGGGCCTGGACACACAAGATATTAAGTCCTGGGGTAACGGTGGATACACAACAGCTATTCTGGTATAGCTTAGGTGGGCATAGTTTGACCTCTGATTTTTCCTGGGGTAACTATGCTGGGTTCTTGTACATGATACCAGTGCAAAGCTATACCTCATGGGCCGTTCCTTTTTACACTGCTGTACAGGCAAGGCACACGGGTGCAGATGCCTCAAGTGTCCAGGCCTCGCTGAGTGACTTCAAAGCGAAGCCAGCTGAAAGCCACTGACTTCAAGGGGAACAAGAGCACAAGCAGCTGCCTGCACTGAAGCCCATGGGCATCATCAGCCTCTTGAAGAAGGATGTGGACTCTCTGTGTTATGGGCATGGCCAATCCTTCCTGGGGGCTGGGGATGTGGTGGAAAGAGCAGGGCACTAAGAGCTCTGGACTGCAGCCTCTGCTGTTTTCAGGGCTTTCCTCTCCAGAGGGGAGAGGAAGCCGGGAGGGAGCTGGGAAGGGGTGAGAGGGCAGAGCAGGTGCCATGGTACACACCCAGGGTCCACTCCTGCCGCTGCCTGGTGTCCGAGGCGCTCATTTCATACGTCCGGGAAGAGGTTTTCACACAGAACATGCACCGCTTCCCATCCCGGTCAGGCAGGACCTGCAGAGAGAGGTTGGGGAGGGAGGGGAGTGTCATGGCACCCCTGCCCACAGCCCAGGGCAGCCACCATCCAACCCCTCCAGGTCTCCCAACTTCCTACCCGACAACTCCCCATTCACTGCTTCCCCATATCCCCTGCCTCTTCTGCCCCTTGGTCCTGGATGCAGGGGCAGGAGGGTCAAAAGCGGGAAACATTCATTCCTCTCTGCTTGAGTCTCTAGATCAGTGAAAATGGGGGGGGGGCTGTGTGAAAGGGAGCACTCCCAGGCCCTCTGTTAACCCCTCCTTTGCTGAAGGAAAGCCATTGTGGCAGCATTCTTGTAAATGGCAAAGTCTTGCCAAATTAGCATTACTGGGATAAGTGCCAGCTGTAGAAATGCCCCTTCCTTACTTCGCCCCATGCACACACAGTGTGGGAGACAGCACAGCTGCGCTTGGCTGGCTAGCGTCTGTACTGCTGTCTCACAAACCAGGCTTGTCGGACACAGTGACTCCCCAAGTGCAGCCCTGAATGTCACGACACCCCATGACAGCAGCAAGGAAACGTGGGCTGGAGTGAGCCCTGGTGAAAAGGGGCTGTACTGAGAGCTTGAGCACCAAGTCTTTGCTCTCTCTGTGCCCAAGATGCCTCCTGTCTGGTCTGGCCCAGTCTCCAGAGGCCATTCAATTCCTTGGTTTCTCTGCAGACAATCAGTTAGGGCCAGCTGTAGCAGTGATTGGGGGGTGGCCTGGCAGGAACTGGACTGAGATATAGCAAACTCAAATCAAGTAGAAAAACTTGCCCTCCTTGCCTTAGCCTGTAAACAGACTACTGGTTCTGGTTCTTCTACATCACTCATCACGGTGGGATCCAGCCACAGGGGAACTACTGGTGGAAACAGTCTGATGCATTCCCAGTGCTTTTCCAAGGCTATTACCCAGTACCTGTTATCACTTGTAACAGCAGCACATGGCTCCATCTCTCTTACACACACATACGCTTAGGTATTAGCGATTACCCCCATGAGACAGATGAGCCCAGTCACCCCACGAGCCCCCTCCACCAGAGCCCGGGTGCTCACCTCCACGCAGCAGTGCTTGTCAAGGGCGATGCTCCCCTTCTTCTCCTTCCGCTCCTCACTCATGTAGTAAGAAAGGCTGCTTGGCTTTAGTGTGAACCACCGCTCGGACCAGTTCCTCCTCAGCTGGCCCTTCTTCCAGAGGTAACCCTGTAGCCAGAGACAGGCAGGGACTCACAGTCCAGGGGCTGAACCAAGCCTTGCCCCCATCTTGTGAGTTTAATGGAGGGGGCTGTAACTGGTTCCTGCCATGGTTATTTCAGATACCACACTTCAGCCTGGGCCCAGCTACCAGGTTATTTGCCCTCAGGGCCATCTAGGTGCATCTGCACACACTAATCTTCCTAGCAGAGGTCCCAGGGGTGCACGCTGGATAAATCTCAGCCACTGTCTCCTGGGGCATCAGGAGGACGTACATACATGGCTCAGTGTCAGCAGCCAAGAAGCTGTGCGTCCTGGTATGCTAGCCTGCACAGGGAGCTGGGAGGACCAGTCATACCAGTTACATGGGCTCCAGGTCCTGTCCACACAGAGTAAAACACAGTAGTGTGCTGACCTGAGTCTAGGAATACAGCCTTGGCCTCCAGCACGGGTAGCTCCCGCATTACCCACTATGTACTGCCTGTGGTGGTAATGGCCAGACCACGTTTAGAGCCAGCAGCTGGCTGCAAACTGTGTTACAAGTGTGAACAGGCTTTTCTCCCCCAAAAAACCCAACGCCTTCCTGTGCTTCCGAGCAGCCACATGCAGACTTGGGCTTTACAGAGACACTTGGCTACATGTCTAAGACCTAGGATCTCAGACTGTGGGGAAGACAAGAGCTGCTTCCACCCTACAGATGGGTGAATCAAGGCAGCCTGATGTGGCCCAGGTTAGGGAGCAAATGTGGCATGAAGACCACCCCAGAGCCCCTGATTTCCCCATTCCTTGCTTGAAGCCACCAGCATGACTGATGCCTGATTGGATACGCTGGGTGCTGTGTTCCCATATAGCAGTGAAAAGTCCTGGGGCTGGCACCCTTGCCAGACTCATCCCTGGGGTGTCTCTTGGTGTCTGTTGGGGAACTGACTTTCCAGAAAGAAGTGGGACAGGGTGAAAAGCCCTCCAGGGGGGCTCTCTGGGCTATTCTTAGGTGACTGTCTTTCCTGCTTTGAATTGCCCTTTGTTTTCAGCTGGGTGGGATCACAGTGGGGTTTCTCAGTGCATCACAGCCTCTGCCCTTGCCCATGTGGGGGTGAGAAGAGCAGCAGAGAGAGGGAAGGGCCTTCCCAGGCACGAGCTCCGTTTTCCTCTAGATGGACACTACACGGACCCACTGCCCAGGTTAGAGTGAGGAGCATTCGCAGCCCGTTTCCATAGGGGTGGGATCCCAAGCCAAGCTCCTCTTCTGTCCCCCAGAGTACGGGGAGCTCCTTGCCTGCTTCAGCACGTCCTCAATGACCTCCTGATACACCTCTTCAATGGCCATGCTCACGGCCTCCTGCTCGATCCCCCGCAGGAAGCGCCCTGAGTTCACCAGGTCCAGGAACTGCCAGACCGTCAGGCCACCCTGCTGCTGGGGCTCCTGGGAGAGGTAGTCGTCCAGCTCACAGCTGTTCAGCTCCACGTTCATGGCGGTGCAGATTTTCTTCAGCAGATACTCCACCTGCAATCAGAAGAAGTCAGATGCGGGGGGGGGGGGGGGAAA